AAGGAGGTAAAGAAAGGGAAGACAGTGTTTTAAGTAACGGATGCTAGAAATAATGGTCCTTGTTTATATAACATTTAGAAGCTAGAGTTCTAAATTTAAAGGCTATATGAGCTTTCTTAAAATGAAAGTGGAGGCTGAAGTGGTATAACATATGGTTATAAGCCCCAGCTAAATTTGGTGGATCTCTTCTATCATTTAATAAATATCAGGGATTTAGGTACTATTTTGACAAGTGCTAGGTACAAATAGCATGTATACTTCGTGGAAATCCTTTAGGAACCAAAAAGAGGGATACAAAGAAGAGAATGCTTTGGAATGAGAGAGTGGGACATGAAAAATTAATGACCAGTGGACTGAAAGGTATCAGCTGTCACTGCCTCCCAGGTCTGTTTACTGTATGGGGGGTTTTAAATGTTGTTGTCCTTGGAAGCAAACAAATAGTGATTTTGTTCTTGCCATTGCAACTGTTTGCCAATTTCTTGTCTCTGATACACTGTTGATTTTACAGTTAGCAGTGTTGTTTTTTTCTATCATAAAGACATATTCAGTGTGACAGGGATGAAGCAGGATACCTTTGCTTTTGGTTTTTTCTCTGCTTAGAGTGACAATGGTGTTTTTTGGGTTTTTTTTTGGGGGTAGCTTTTTCTCTTCACATTGTTTTCTTAGGGTGCTATAAAGTGTCTTTAGGACTGCTGACGAAGGAGCAAGACTAGAAGTGTTTTTGTTAAGGTGATGCATGGGAAGAATGGGATAATACAAGCTATAATGTTTCATCATGATTGAATGGTTTTAAATAAAATAAATCCAGGAACTATCAAACACTAATCCAGGCAACACAGACCATGGTTCATTCTTAGCATTTTTTCTCCTGGAGCAGAGCAGGGTGTCTTTTACCCCTTGGACATTCTTTCTCAGCTGTTTCCTAGCCCTTTACTGGGACTCTGTGCCTTCCCTTTCCATGGTGGCAAGGGCAGCATAACCTCCTTTTTTTTGGCCTCAGGGTTCCAGGCTATTTTAGGCTGGCTTTTGTTAAACTCATGGACTCAGCTGACTGGGAAATGGCTTCTGCCCATGCTTCAGCTGTTACCTGCCTGAAGTTAACCTCATTTACCCTGGCTGCCCCTTTCCCTCCCTCTCGCAGGTAATAATTACATTGCTTCTGGGAGAGGGAAGAGTTTCCACCTGTCTCCGTGCATTTGCCATGCCTCCATAACTTAGGCAGCAGCAGCTCCTCACTGTAGTGAGCAAGGCCCAGCTGGTCTGCCCTTCAGCCCTGGGTGGCCCAGGGGTTATGGAGGACAGGCTTCCCTCCACTGCAGCCTGTGTCCGCATCTCACAGCCCTGCTGGGGGCACTGGAGTAGCTCCCACTACTCCTTGTTCTGCCTGTGGATGCTGGGAGGTTAGTCTGTGCCTGGGCTTGTTCTGCCTCTCCGGCCCTGAATGATAGCGTAATGTCCGCGAGTGCCTCAGCTTCTTTCGGGTTTCTGGCTGCTTTCGTAGTGTGATCCTCTGAAAGATGCACTTCTTTCTGATTAAGTGTTAAGAAAGAGCTGGTACTGTTCCCCACATGCCATTCATGTATTTTTGACCTCTGGTAGAGGGGTCTGTGTTTCACACCTTCCTCCCTTGACTGCTACTGTTGCTGGGATGTTTTTTATTATGCCTAGTTTGGGGGTGTAAGAATGAGAGAACCTGGTTAGGATTTCAACCACTTTGTCATCTAGAAACTTACTCAACCAGCATAGGATAAAGATGAGTCTCTTGTAGGAGAAATATGTACCTCCTGCTCAGCTCTTACCTGTATACATGACCTCCATGTCCCCTATTTATGAACCTGGGGAGACTTGCAGACTGCACACATTCATGCCCTTATGCCTTCATTCCTGATGATACCCAAAAATGGTGCCTACTCAAAAGGCAAGATGGTAGGAGCCAGTAAAAAGCAGCAACCACAGCCTTTGAAAGGTCTTTGTCCCTCATTCAGGTGGGGCTGCCAGAGGAAAGCAGTGTTTATGTACCTTTTCCCAAGCCACATGAAGACCCATCGGTTTGAGGGATCTCCTTCTCTTGTTCTTCTGTCCTTTGCTGTGTACATCTGTTCTTCCAGGCTTGAGACAAGGAAAGGAGACCTGTTACACTTACAAACCAGTCAAAGTGAAGAGTCTCACATCCTTGGGGCTGCAGAGAAGGACCTTTGTCTCTCCCAGGGGCATTTGCATGGTGTGCTGGCATCTCCAAAGCTCTGAACAAAAAACAAACTTATCTCCAAGAAAGGTAGGCCCTTTTCCTATGCATAGCTGTCAAAACTGTGATTGGCGTGCTTTCCTTGCCACACATAAAAAAAACCTGCTGATAAAAAACAGTTGAAAATGAAGCGAGTTTTATCTATCCACTCAAATCCTTTTTACATGTAGTTCTTACAGATAACACCTGGTGTTATTTACACTAGAGAAACTTCATCTTTTTTTCTGTTTTCCTGAGATTGATTCCTTTATTCATTTCTTCAGTTTCGTTGTTTCTTGTGGACAGCTGGTGAATGCTAGTTTCCTCTTGTCATTCTTACTCTTGTCTTTCACACAGCAGTAGCAAAGGGAAAATATTTCTCCCTACTGACAGATAGCCTGCTTGCTTCTGGCTTCTAGCAGGATTTTTATTTGTTTCAGAGAGAGGATGGGATGACAGATAGGTGAGTAAAGAAGACTGAGAAAGGCATTCTTGTTAAATTTTGTTTTCCTGGACACAGCTGAAATGGACCATCACGTAATGCCGAACTCCTCAGCTTTTTCTCCCAGGGTTGTGTTATAAGATCATTAGAGATTCCTTACTACCTTTTCTGTGCCTGTCTCTATCTCGTATGCTTAGCACAAGCCAAATAAATACAATATCCATGCATTTTTTATCAAACATTTTAAATCACTTCACTCTGCTGCTGCCAAGGTTGCTTATGGTCAGCTTCTGGAGTATGGTAATTTTCACAATTTCCATCTGTCAGCACTATGAAAAAATGATTACTCATTTAACCTGAGTGAAAAACAGCTTTTATATCTGGCTACCTTAGTGAGATGATGGATTGGCCCAAATTGTGCCATGAAAAAGTACACCTAAAACGTGCTTCTGAGAGAAACAAGATCTCAAGGACACACTTTGACATAGTGCCATTTGTAGCTCCTTTTATAAGACTAACAAGAGGTTGTGCTGGTTTGTTTGTTTGTTTGTTTATTTATTCAAGTTTTTTCTAGCACTGAAGTCTTGTCTGTTTTAAGTCCATTCTCCAGGGTGAAAAATCCAGTCACTTGTCTTCTGGAATGCTTTTTTGGAAATGTTGAGTATTTAGCAAGTTTTGTACAATGGATCTACTTTGTATTCAAACCAAAATATGTCTCTCTTCTGTTTCAGTTTTGGGATTTTCTTCGGGACTTCTACCCTCCAGTTTTTGTGTGGCCATTGAATTTCAAACATTTTGTACAGCTCTACTCATTACACTAATACCCACATGAGTCTCATAAATACCTGTAAAATGTTTCAAGGGCAGGGGTCTGTAGGCCTCTTGCAGGTGTTGTGAGGAGTCTGGAAAACTGTGATATTTTTTTTTTGTCCTTGTTGGAAACTTGAGGGTTCATGGTTCTCTTTTGGCAAAGGGGGTGGGAAAATTACTGTTTTGATTTGCCAAGCCCATTTAGTTTGAAACAAACCACTAAAGTGTGAGATACACTACTGTTGTATTGCACTTACTACAGCAAACAGGATCCCCTGTTTGAAACTCATCATTTGGAGATGGATATCAGACTAAGATTATAATCTGCCAACAATTGGAGGGCGAAGGAATGAACAAACAAACAAATCCCAGACCTTGATGCATCTGTACAAATTCCCTATACTTTCCCTAAGTTTCTTCCAGTCTAAAATATTTTAGAATTTACTTCCAGATCTTAGTTTCATCGTGGGTGTCTCCTCTAGTTTGCCATTAGTAAATCTAGTTCATATAGCAATGTATCTAAATGTTACAACATTTAAAACAAAACAAGCAAGCAGATGCTTAGAGGAGAGTTATGTGTGTAGTTTCCTGGGTGGAATTGTGTTTCCAGAGTGACCTGCAAACCTAAACACCAGTGTCACTTTCTCAGCTGTTCTGTGGAAGGAAACCTAGCAGCTGCTGTCTCCTCCTGTAGGCTCCTTGTGGCATGCTTTGGGCTTCTGACAATAGAATTGATGTCCCAAACCAATACTGGGATTTAAATGCATCTATTAATTTCCCTGTACTGAATAAAAGAACTGAAGAGGAGTTTATAAACAGTTATTAGATAGGTCTTTGTTATGCATATTTAGAACAAAATGAAGACTATAGGAACAACTTACGATTAAATTGAAAATCAGGTAAATAATCTTAGGCAGGAATGAAATGCTACTTAAGAATTCACATGAAGTATGTGATTTCCTTCTCTGTTTGTGGTCACTGTGCTTTTAAATATTTCTGGATTAAAAATCCCCTGTCTGGATTTAGCATCTGATTTATATACACATGTTCATCCTGTTTAAAAACTTTGACTCAGTGGAAGAATTATGTTGAGCAAATATATTCTGTAACTAGTAAATGAGAAAATACTTACTTGTAGAATGCGAAAACCTCACAATACTGGGTAGATGCGATAGTAAAATTTTTTCTTATTGTTTTAATTTGAGAATCTTTTTTCCTCTGGTTAGCCAGTGTCAGGTGATGTTAATGGAAGAAGCCCTTCACACTTCAGATGGTGACAAAAAAGAACAGGCAGCTTAATGCTACCAAACTAGGGGTGTGTCAAATCTCTCTCAAGAATGATAAACTCTATTGAGTTGTCTATTTTTAACCTCCTGTTCTTCCCTTTTGGCAGACTAATCAGTGTTAGCTGAGCTCTTTCACTGAATGAATCCAAGCAACTCTGTTACGTTCTGAAAAGAACAGTGGACCTTGCAAGAGCATTACAAGTCTACTTTAATGTATGAAGTGCCATCTTGAAACACCATGTCAAATGAAGCCAGTTCGGAGCAAAAACTTTCTACAACAACAGTCAGTTCAGTTGCTGTTCAAGCTGGGGATGCCAGTATTGTTATAGCTGTACTTAAGGTAAGGCAGCAACTGCTAGCATGTCTGTTCTTGGCTTTCTGCTACTCAGTGATTATTACTACTTTTAAATGTTCTGTGCAAATGAATAGTTAGCATCAAATGATATGGCAAGGTCATTTAATCAGTTAATATCAAATTCCTTGGAGGTTAATGTTTTTTTTTCAATTTCTGCTTATGTTATTTTTTTTAATAGAATAAATAATTTGGCCTAAATATGTAGGCTGTTAGAGGCAAGGAATTCCTCTTTCTGTGTTTAAAAAGTAAGAGATAAATGCAGAGTGCCATGAAAATTTAATAAGCGTGATGCTACTTTTAATCGTAGTTGGTGCTCCTCAAGAGTTATTTTTAAACACTACACAGCAACAATTTCACTTAATAAGTAGTCTACCAACTCCATAGATGCAGACCGTATGTCTTTTTTTGAATTATTTGCTGGAAAAAAAATCCTAAACCTGATGAGTGGCTATTTTTTTGAAAGCTCTGAATTCATAGTCCTTGTGTGTATATAGTTGTGCTTATAAACACCTAAAGACCTGTTCTGTGAGCTGGAATCCGCACCTACAGCTTGCACAAAACTTGGCATGGGGAGTAAAGCTGGATGCCTAGCTCCTGAACCTCAGCTGGAATTTGTTGGCAGTTTGATTCTTCATTCTCCAGGCAACTTGGAAAACAGCTAGCCTCAGCCACTCGAGTGTCTGTAATGCAAAGTAAGGTGATAAGGAGTTGGACTGTCACCAGATTAGGATGATTATTCAGGATGAGTTTACCTCAGTTGTGCTAGTGGGAAGGTTCTCTCCTATCAGTTCTCACACTTCCTGGGAGACTGTCTGCTGCTGCAGGGGAGTAGTTTTGTTGAGAGGAGACTGAAGTTTAGGGCGAAGACACTTACTTTTCTCCTGTGTGCTGTGGGAATCATGCTAGCCTCCAGTGACATCACTGTTTCCTTCTTTATCACCAGTCTCTCTGAGTTATGCTTCTCAGACTGTAGCAATTCTGCAACACAGTGAGGAAAGAATTAGCAATGTTTTGGGTTGTTTTAAAGCTTCCTTTTTTTTGTGTATCCTCCAGGACACAATGGGATATTGCTCTTTGGATTCCGTAGAAATGAGATTCGGGGTTATGGTTTTTGCATCTCTTGTAATATATTTGTACCTTCTGCCTTCACTCCTTCACACCCCCTAAATTTCCTTAACTATCTGTGCAATCTTCAACTGAAAGGGGAAATGAGTTGGAGAAACCTTTCAGGCTCGTTGTGATAACGTTACTCTTCACAGGCAAAACAAAATCACAGTACCTATTGCATAAGACTAGAGTCTGGGATTTTAATATCTGTTCTCAAATGAAGTTTGTTGTATCCTCTGTTTCTTCATTCTGCAACTGTATACGTTTCCTGTATGCATACTCTCACCTGTGTACATATACTGTATACCAGTTTGTGGTTTCTAAAGACTGTAATTGTTTACTTACTGCAGTGTGGAAAATGGGTGAAGCTTCAGCTGGCTGAATCAACACCAAATTTGTTAGAAATTGGCAGCAACCAAGATGAGACGAAAAAGCTCCTGCAAGATCATGAATTCCTCCTAGCTAAACTTAAGGTAAGATGTGATAAGACGACGCAAAAATACATCTTGTCATTATAATTCAGGTACAATAGTTGACATAGCTGCCTGTGCTTCCTGTTGCAATGTAAAATAAAGTTAATCTCCACACGCACAAAAAGTACGTTCCACCTTTGCCAGTGCAACAGATCAAAGTTAGGCATCTGCACTGGAAAAATATGCTACCTGTTAATTACTATTTTCTGACAACAGTAGTAAAGATACACTGTTCTTCCACTATATGCATTACTGTCAAGTCAAGTGAAAAATTCCTATAACCCTCAGTAACTGCTAAATATAATGGAATGTTGTTAGGGTTTTTTCGGTTTGGGTTTTTGTGGGTTTTTTAATTCTCCAATGTTACAAAAAGTTTGATTAATTCATAACCACTGTAAACACAAACAAGCTTATTGTAAGTATACAGCAGATAGTCCAGGCACATCTATACAGAATATTAATTGATGTGATTTATGGTAAGAATGACACTGTAACATTAAATATTGCTTATCTTGAGCTAGGAAGATTTTAGCTCAGTAACAGACCTAAAATCAGATTTTAGCATTCTTGAGAGCAAATTATAACAGGGGCATTTGCTTGCATGAAGAAATGGAATTATTTTACATGTGGATGTTTGACACTGAGAAGAGTCTAAGGCACATAAGAAGAAATTTTGTTTCATGTTTTGGTAGGGCAGATTGACTTTACATATGTAGACAAATAAATTCCTCTAAAATATTGGAGCTCTGTGCAGCAACTATATAGATTCCAGCCTTTTTTTTTTTTTGTATTTTTTTTTTTGTATTTTTTTTTAAGATTACGTAAAATTCAGATCTGAAAGATCAAACATGGTCTGGATAGAATCAAGTGTGTTTGATTTAATACTAATGATGCTGTGCTTACCATTCATTATAAATCTCAGTCATATGTGAGGTAATTTAATACAATATATGGAGAACATAATCTAATATGGTGCACAGTGTGGATTTGGAAAAGTATGAAGAGTTGCATTACACAAAAAGCCACGCCCCCCAAAAATCCCACAAAAAAACCAAAACAACAATGAAACTATGAACAACGACAATAAGACAATAAAGTCTTCTCCATAGACTCCAACTCGAAATCCCTGCATTAAATCTTTAATTTTTAAGTTTGGGAAATATTTCTTTTAATTTAAAAATTATTTAAATAGTGGGGGGAAAAAAATCCCAAAGCATTTAATGTTCTCTGATGCTCATTCAGATGTTTGACTTTCTATTCCAATTAGTCTAGATCCATGGAATCTTAAGTTTATTTTTCATTTAGCAGAGTTTACCTTGTTTTCTGCTCAGAATAAAAGTAAAATAATAAAATAAAACCAAATAGTTAATATTGATGAAAATGCTAATTTTTTTCATTCCTATTTGTGATGTCTTGTAACCGAATGCTTAAACCTAGATGACCGATCCTTATTTGGATCCCCAAAGCTTAACAGATTTTATCAGATCAGAAAATTTATTATGTATTAACTGTTAAAGAATGCTTGTCATCCAAATTTATCAGGAACAAATACTCATCATTTCATGTTCTATACCTGCAGTGCTTGCAAAATTCATCACTGATTAATGAACAATTTATAAAAGGATTAAGTCTAAAATGTCTGGGTTTTGCTCAATAATTTAAGAGCTGCAATAAGAGTACTGCAGTGTCATTATAATTCATATTGACTGTGCATTTTTCAGACATGACCCTTTCTGTCTTACAGTAAGCTGTTAACACTTGTCAGTAATTATTCAGTCTTAAGTTACTAAATCCACTCAGCAAAAGTTTTACAAGAATCATTCCCAGTATTTGAAGTATTGATTGTAGTATTTTTTCCCCACTCTAGCATTTGCTAATGAATTATGCATTAGTTATGTGACTACAGATAGAGGTAGTAATGTTTCTGTCTTCAGTATTTATAGACATAAAGGTTTAGTTTCTTGTGAGAAGGTAAAATAGTGTTTTGAAATGTGGGCAGGAGAGGGGTTGAAAGATGGCACAATTGCAGTTGTTAGGTGGGCTTTGTTTTGGTGGTGTCCAGTGTACACAGTTCTATTTAATCTTTTACTCTTAATAAGCAACATAATTTTGTTAATATTAACAGTAGTTAATTATACAAATACATGAACATTATCCCAGCTGCGGTCTTATCCAGTGCAGTTTTTAATTCTTCCATATTAGTTAGAAGTTTGTTGTCCTGATAGACTATCAGTGATAGTCTATGGCAGCTTATAACATATTTATTTCGCTCTTAATTACATCTTTATATTTGGAATGGATTATAAATAGCCTAAAAAAATGTAAAGATGAAGCTTAAGTCTTGTGCTCAAGTAAAATTTGTTCCAGTTATGTGATAACATTGTGATATTTTACCTCAGGTTTACATATCTTTTTAAAACACTTACAGGCAACTGTAGTAATGCTCATGGCATATAGTAAATCAGAAATATTCTATTAGATCTTATTGTCACATATATGACAATTAAGGCTTCCGTAACATAGATTATGAATATCCATCAAAAAATATATTTTAATTCAAAATAGTGTATTTATTACATTTTATATTTATATTGATGATGATCTGATTTGCTTCGATGATTGAAGTAGTATGAATTTGAAAATTGGCTAAATGCCATGTTAGCTTCATTTGTTTTTTGTCAGTCTAACTTTTCAAAGTAAGAAGATTAGAAAGTTAGTTATAGCAAAACTCAAGAAGTGTAATTTTTTTTTCTAGTGTACTTAAAAAGAAGTGAGAATGGAATCCTTATGTTTTTTAATCTTGAAGCTAGAAAGTTTTTATAAGTAGAAAACAGTATAATTAAGAATTTATCTACTTGGATCCTCAGGAAATGGATTGATTTTTTATATTGTGTGATTTTTCAGTCACCTGAATGTGAAGTTCAAGAATGAGGTAACTTTGAATTGTTTTTCTGTTTCTCTTTTACTGTTGTATTTAAAAACATGCGAAATAAATCATGTTCCCTGGCAGATATCAATACTGGATACACATATGCTTTAGCTGGTTAGTTCAATCCAAAGTTAAGCATTTGTATAGGACAGGCAAAAATTCCTGAACCAGCAATGATTTGAATGTCAAACTGGTCCTGCTTAAGGGAAGAGTTAGATGGTTAACACTACATCTTTTGAACCAGTGCTGAAGAACCCATGGACTTTAAAAAGATAATTTATGTTGACATGCTGGCATTATCCCGTGTTTTGCAAACTCATTCTGTGTTTTCATTATTCTTTTGCTTATTAGATTCATTGTTTATGGGCTGAAGACAGAGAATAGGTCACATTTTCATTCAGCAGACTTGTTTATTTTAAGTGAAATTCCTTTTGCAGACAGGAAGTAGACACTCAAGCTGCCTTCTAGGGACATGGTTTAGTGGCAGGCTTGTCAATATTAGGCTGTGTTATGGTTGGACTTGATGATCTTGAGGATCTTTTCTAATCTAAACAATTTTATGATTCTATTCTTATCCCAGTATATATATCCTAACGAGTTAAAAAATCTGACCAATTTGTTACTCAGTAAGGTAGATGGTATTTTAAAGGGTAATAGGAACAGACTTTGAATGAGAGTTGAATGAGAGAGCAGTAATTTTTAGAACATTCCTTTACTCCTTTTAATTTCAGAAATTATTCTGAACATTGTGAACATTCAGAATTTTGAAAATATTCAGAATTATTGTGGTAAAAACTGGTGTGTGTACGTTAGGGCATTATGAAAAAACATGTTCAAAATAGTTTCCTTTGATAAAATGCACACTATCACACTCATTATTGATTTAAATTTGTTCCACTGAATTTGAGAACTCGGAACATCCTACTATTTTAATAAAAAAGCAGAATACGACTTTTGAAAAAGTTCCCATTCAGAAGTGTATTGATTAGGAAACAGACATGTTATTGTTAGAAGAGTTCAGAGAATAAATGCTGATGAGGTAATAGTAAAACTGAGACTAAACAAAAACCATGTACCTGATGTTTACAACACAGAGTTAAAATTCCTTTCAGTGATCTTGAATTTTTTTATATGTATGGTATTGATGTCCTTTATAGTGCAAACTATTAATTTTTGTTGAATTGTCATACTATTAGTGTACAGAAAATTATCGAAAGTTGTTAAGCAACTAGGATTTAAGAGGTAAACTATAGTTTCTTAATTTTGTTCAATAATGCCTAATTGATCAGGAAGATTTGTATATGTTTGTCATTTGTTCTAGGAAAACTTACAGATTTGTTTTCCTTCGGACATAAATTTGGTGTTTGTAAGTGTCAAAGAATTATATATTACTTTATAATTGATGAATCCATTTGACAGGTCTAGATACTGCCAACACTTACATGTATTTATTGTTGCAGGTTCCATGAACTAACATAAAATGCTTCTTTCAAACATACTTAAGAATGAAATATAAATGCTTTGGAATCATAGACCTTTTTCTTTGTGATTTGACCCTTCAGTAGTCTCAAATAATAAGTTCTCATTTTAAACTAATATATGCTGTTTCTGTTTTGCTAAATTAGGTAATATCAGCAGTAAGTTTTGTAGGAAACATTAACTTCTGTGATTTCACACGTCTCCCCCAACATTTGCCCCATCCTTGTTTAGATGACCTTCAGCAGGTTTATATGTTCTGGAAATTTAAATATATGTATAGGTATGATTTGATGTCTCATTCTTCACAATTTAAAAAAAAAAAAAAGTGAGAGGAGACAGCTTTCAGAGACAAAATCGTATTGATTGCATTATACATACACATTTCTCTGCCTTTCTTCTATTCTCCATAATTCAGTTGTTTCCAACAGAAGCCTTGTCTGGAGATAAAATCTGCCTTAGTGTTTGAATCTCTCAGTATTACCGTTTTCTATATCATTAAAAGAAATAAAAAAAGGAAAAGAAAAAAGGAAAGACTGCGTGTGTGCATGTCTTGCCACGCTTTTGGCTATGACAAAGTTAAACCCCCCCCTAA